GTCTGCAAGGTTTGTCTTTTTCCTGACCCTTTGTTCTATTTCCCTATATTCCACATATAACCATTCGATAATTTTCCTTTACCTTCTGACTTATCTCACTTATTTCACTTACTTCACTTATTAACCCTTCTAGCTCCATGCATGTTGCTGCAAACTGACCTCCATCTGTTATTATAGAGTCCAGTTTTCCTAGAACTTTGTTGAGTTTCTGTTTTCTCCCCTACAAAATGGGACTGATAATATATACCTTGCATACCTCACAGAATAGATGGAAAGACCAATCCAAATTGAATAACAAGAAGCCTTTGGAGATGGTGAAGAACTAGACAAACATAAAAGTTTATTGTTTCTAACCTGTATTGGCAAATCTGCCAGTTGCCATGTTTATCCAATCAAACCTCATTTATTGAACATCTCCTTGGTGCCGTGCCCCATTTAAGCCTTTAGTGGCCAGAACTGAACAAAATAGCACTTCTTCAAGGGGCTCATGACCTAGTTAGAGCTAGACACTAAACACTGACTATTTTTACTATTATTTATTCAAAATATGGAATATTTTGAAATTTTTTTGCAACCATTTGTAAATAGATGCTTGAAACCAAGAAAGAGTTGACTGGCAAATGGAGAAATTCCCTATCTGCCACCAGCAGGTTAGGTTTTAAGAAAACCAATGGTGTTCAATGATGTTTCGATCGTAACCTCACAAGTGTGGTTTCCATACCAACACATTTGTGCAAAACAAAAGCCCAAGACAAAATGCTGCCTCTAATTCACAATATGGCTAGCCTTGCTTGAATCATGTTTTTAATAGAAAGATTAAGCTCCCACTCCCCACAGTGCCCTGCCAAAGCGTGTGAGCTGCCACACACAAACACAATGGAGGGGTCACATCAAGTTCTCCATGGGATCCTGACCCCTCCCTTTATGTCTCTGGGTCTCAGTTTCCTTGTCTGCTTGATAGGAGTATTATTGCTTCCGTAATGTTTTCTTTTCATGTAACTGAAATGAGATCAAAGACACTATTATTATGAAAGAGCAAGGGACAGGGTAGTCACAGAGAGTCCAGGAGCATAGATTAAGTGGGAAGGGCTTCTTCAGTGCTTCTGGGAGGAGGACAGTCTTGACACGAGGGGCTGGGTTAAGTTTTGTGGATGCCTTGTCAGGAAAGTCACCATGGAGGACCTAGGTCCCTCCTCCTCTGGCCAGCCCTTTCTCCTCCTGTTCCCCCTCACTTCTTCCTTTTCCTCTTTTCCTCTCGTCTGTTCTCTCCCCCGCCTTCAGTGTTTATCTGTTGTGTGCCAGAATGTAAAAATGTAAAAATAAAAATGTCACTATTTCAGCAGAAGCTTCAGTAGAAGCTTTGCCAGGTGGCAAACTTGGAGAGACACACCCATCATTTCAGTCCAGGGCCAGGTGTAAGGTGCTACAGGAGCATCAATGAGGGATGGGGCTGCTTTGCAGATTCTGTTTGAATTGGACCTTGACTGATGTCAGAGCTGAATTGGGAGGAGGGCGGGCAGATGTAACCTGGAAGTTTCGAGACATTGAAGGTGTTTGAGGCCAAGGGAACTGCATGAAGTCTCTGACAAAATTCTGGGAAAGAGCAAGTTATTCAGTACCAGTAGTTCTGTGACAGTGGACCTGGAGCAGGGGCTGACCCCAGCGAAACATTTGTGGGAACCAAGGAGTTCTCACTTTGTCTTGTGAGAAATGGGTGGAGCAACTGTATTTAAGCAGAATAGAATTCTAGTCTCAGTCTGGGTAGTTATTTATATGCTCATTATATACACTCATAAAGTATACATTATATAGTCGTATATAATGATTGCACAATGGAGAGATTACTCTGGGGGAGGTGTGACGGTGGGCTTTGGGGGGTACTATCATGACATCAGTGGAGTCAGGTTTCAAAATTCTTTTAATGATAAAACTATTTGAACCATTAAGCAGTTAATAGATAAAAGTAATGTTTTGTTAGTATGTATTTAGTTTGTAATTCCAAACTGGTGATACCTCCTTAGTATAAAATCAGTGAAGGATGGATCAGTAAATCATTTTGATGGGCACAGGAAGTAGAAGTCAGGAACTATGCGTCAAACTGGAGTTGCACTGGTTTCAACACCCGGTTTATTTCTGGACTTTGGTTTTGGTTACATAGCACTGAGAAATCCTGATTTACACAGTTAAATAGCTGCTGGTAATAATGGTTTTTTCACAGCTTGACTTTGAGTCTCAGGACACTCTTTAATTAAAAAAGGAAAACTTCATTTGGAGGCTTGCATAAAAATGAATTAATTTGGCATCTTGAGTAAAAGGGTTAGTGGTTTGCATGTTCCAAAATTGGGTATATAACACATTTTCATTATGGTTTAGGTGGTTAAATTTTATTTTAAATGAAATTTAAATCAAATATTTGAGAACTTCCTACTTCCCCACCTTAAGCCATATATAGAAACTGAAGATATGTGAGGTTATTCCTGTCTTGATATTAGATTATTCTTACTTTGAGAGTGAAAGATATTATGTGGATTATTTGAGTTGGTCATGCACTGGAGACAGCAACTGTCCCTCACATGGCTGAAGTTGGGTAGTTAGTGTTGCATTAATACTAATAATACTTCTTTGGTGTGTTGAGAAGCATTTCTCTCAAAACTAGCAGGAATGGGAGGTGGGAGGCTACCTTTGGCTCATTTGGCATTTATATAACCTTGATACTTGTCTGATCTGTGCTGTGACTGTGGACATTACAAGAGTCCAAGTAATATGTCCCTGATATCAGGGTGTTGAAAGACCCCCCCACATGTCTGGAAAAGCCAACCCACGTGCTCTTTTGGTGCTTCCACAAAGTGACAAAGGTCACCAACAGGAGACTGGTGACAGCTCTTTTAATGTACACCTACTATGTGCTGATCATTATTTGATGCAATTTCTATATACTAATATCTGAAATCAACAACCCTATGAAATGATTGCTATTATTATCTCCCTCTTACGGATGAGGAAGTTAAACATCTTGCCCAAAGTCACACACCTCTCAAGTGGAAGAGTTAGGATTTGAATCTGCATTATGGCTCTAGGTGTGCATTCTAGTCACTGCTGTCTTATGCCTCCTCAAGGTAACAATTCACATTAGATCTCTGAGGTCAAGTATCTTTTAATTGGGAATGAACATTGCATTTGTTCCTTAATTTTTCTGAATAGTGCCCTCAGAGCTAGTTCTTCTGATGATGTTTAAAATAGGGTTTCAGTAGAAATTGTGCAATATGCAATGCAGGATGGATGAGGGTTTAACAGATGTGTGAACTTTTTTGGAAAGTATGCTCTGATGCTCGGTTTAAGCCATTCATGGTCTGGACTCATGATGTCATCATGGAGTCACTAAATTGTCCTAAGAGTCTGTGACCCAGGCAGTCTCTTTCTCCTCTCTTAATTGTAGAGTTAAGCTACCAAGTTACCTAAGGTATAATCTAAATACCAAGAGGGTGGGAAAGAACTGGAAGAAAGAGTGGTAGGATGCTAAGGCTGTGGGTGAGGTGTGGGTCTGGCTCCTGTATCCTCAGGACATTGTTCTTTCCAAATAAAGAGACATTGTTCCTTCCAAATAAAGAAAGGCAATCCCTTGAGCTTCCACTGAAGATAGGAGATTGGAAGGCTTAAAAGGAGACTGGAATGAAAGTGAATTGCAAAGCAGGTAAATTGATAGGAAACAGCGGGGTGGGGCTATCATTGCAAAACCAGTCTATTAACAGGAGGTCCCAAGAGCCCAGGCTGGATTTTTCTCAAGAACTAACACTAAGCTAAGTAGACGAGTTAATGAAGACATGTGAGTCGGGGCTGCACAGTTTGGCAGGAGCAGCATACTCTGAATAAGAGCATGGTTGGGGTGGTGGCTGCCCCATGTGCTGGGTCTCCAAGTGATCACCACCACTTAAAATTGAAGTGTTTGTTTCAGGACTAGCAAAAGGAATCCACTATGAGCAATTTTATGGAGCTTGTTACCGGAAAATGAAAATAGCATCAAGAAAGGATTAAATGAGTTCATAGAGAGGAGAGAGAGAAAGGGTATTGAGGAAAGGCAGGGAGGTGCAGGGAAGCTGCCTGATCCAGAGGGATCATCACCACTGGGGAGTTTAGCATGTCTTCCTGACTCCTGGTGCCACTGTGCACCCCGGTGTTCTTAAGTCGTGGTTGCCAAGGTTCCAGCATTCTCTGCCCACCCCTGGGGTTTGTCTGAGTGTCATGCCCACAAGTCTCATACCCCTTACTTATAACCAACGTATCTCAATCTGTCAGCTCCCTGGCGTCATGATGAATTCAGGCATCTCCATGAGGAAAGAACTGGTTCTAATCTAATGACAGCTCTGAGTATGTGTGTGTGACCCCTTCCCATGTGGCCAAGTCATTAATCCAGCTCAGAAGAGCAGGGAGGGAACCAGAATTTAGGGACACCTTTTTTGTAATAGGCACTGACCTGGGTGTGTTGGTTCATTAAGTCTTTGCAAAAAACCTGTGAGGGATTGCCTTTTCTCTTTTGTGTAAATGTGGAAACTAACTCATAGAGGAAAAATAACACCCCCCAAATTCATACAATAAGTGAAGAGGAGGGACAAGGCTCAAATTCACATCTTTTCTGACTCCAAAATTTGTCTTGTTTGCACCCTTCCTGCTTCCTGAATAGAAAATAAGCTCACATTTTCCCCAGAAACCCAGGTACCACTGTGTCTTCCAGCAGGCCTCAGGATAAAATGTTCCCTACGGGACTTAGAAACTCAGTTCTTGCCTAGAACTTGGGCAAGTTATTTGACGTTTCTGAGCCTCAGTTTCCAATATAGATAACGTGGGAATAATATACACCTTTCCCCCTTTGCAGGACGGTGATTATAAGATGAAAGCAAATGTGCAGAAGCATTTTTTCACTGTCATAAATGCCTTTGTGGTAGAATAATCACCTTTAAACTGACCAGTGATTTCTCTCTTCTCTTCCCTATCATTCCCCCCAGTAGACTTAGTGGGAGAATGTTGACCTACAAACATTCTGGACTTGAACTGATGAAGATCTCACTATTCGGCCAAGAGGAAAGTCATTTACAAGTTCTTTCGGAGTCTGGTTGTTGTGGGGAAGTGTGAGGAAAAATTCATTTAAGAGGCAAAACTTTGTTTTATGCCAGCACAAGAAAGGAAGTAATTTTTTGATTCCAGGCCTGAACGTCAGTCAAGCTTGGAACAATGGAAGCCCTCTGGGTTCAAGGGGAAGGCAGGCCTGGAGTCAGTTACCTGGGACAGCAGTTACCCGGGTTGACAGCTCCAGCAGAATTCCAGGCTTTGCAATCTTTTATGAATTTGATGGGGAAAGGAGGGTAGTCAAGGTAAATGTTGAAGGATATGGTGGGTCTGTGCAGACCTCTGAGAAGACTCTGGGGTTCAGCTCAGTGCTGCAGTGAAAGAGGCTGTGTGATTTCAGAGACCTCCTGGTTTCCCAGTTTTGCCATTTCTCACCTCTGAAATCGATCCTCTTTTAAAACACTTCCTGCTCTAAGGCATGGGTCTTAGTAGCCCACACTCACACCAACAATGCAACAGACCCCAGACCTGTGCACCTATGCCTGGTGGGACCTAATCCTATATATTCTCAGTGAGGCCCCAGTTGAGCAACCCCAACTCCTCCAAGGTCTGCCTCTTGGCCCATGTCACAAGGCCCCAGAGGCATGTCCTATACCTGCTGCCACCAGCTACCCCAGAGCACCTCTTGTGACCTAGCTGGCTAATTGAGAGCCATTCCTCCAGCAGCTAGCTGCCCTCAGGACACCTAGGGCTTCTGTTGGCACTGCACACCTCTGCTGGACCAATGCAGCAGGGAACCTAGCACACTGGGTATGCCCTACAGTAACACCTACAGGCAGCCAGACGCCAAGGTCAGGCCCACAGCACCACATGGAGCACACCGTAATTCAGGGCCAAGGTCAAATCCAATCAAAGTGACACTGCACAGAGGGATTGATAGCACTACCCACGTACTGCCCTGTAGGGGCAGGATAGGTTGGAGCGCGGATTCTCTATGACGCGAGCAGATGGGGTAAAGGAGGAGAGAGTCCTGGAGCCCTCAGTGGCTTTTGTAGGCTTTTATTGGGATTTACCAGGTACATAGCAGGCAGGGGTGCTGATGGCTCAGGAGGCTAGTAGGCCTCCTAGCCCCCAGCAAGTCTTCACTCTTTCTGGGCTCTCCGGCATACTCTCCCATTCTGCTCCTCTTGGTTCTGCCGTTCATTCTGCTGGCGTCCCCATGACGCCGCCCTTATAAGCCCAGTCTCTCAGCCCAGGTGAATCCCATCTACGCACGTCCATACCCTGCTCCAGGTGCCCGCCATCAGGCATGCATTCAGGACCACAAGGATCCATCATCAATCCTAATGGCGGGAGTGCAGAAAAGCCTGATACTTTACTTACCCTACATGCCCCAACACAATAGGTGGGTGGGTGCAGTCCACAAAGAAGACATCACAACCAGCTGGATACTCCCAGGCAAATGCTTTTCGCTGAATTGAACTTCTGTTTTGCCATTTGTGAAACGGTGCCCATAGCCTCTCACATCTGAAAGGTCATAAATATTGGGCTGTCAGAAAAGTCATGACGTATTTTTTTCTGTTTTTCAAGCAAAAATGTGTCATGATTTTTCTGACAACCCAATTCCTTAGTGGAGATTGGTGTGTGTAGGGTAAGGAAAAATATCAGGCTTTTCTGTCCTCCTGCCATCAGGGTAGATGATGGATCCTTGAGGTCCTGAATGCATGCCTGATGGCGGGCACCTGGAATAGGGTGTAGGCAAAGATGATGGGATTCACCTGGGCTAAGACTATGCTTTTAAGGGCAGCGTCACGGGGATGCCAGCAGCAGCAGAAGCCAAAAGAGAAGCGGAGAGAGAAGCAGAGAAGCAGCAGCAGAAGCAGAGAGAACTCCAGAGAGCCCAGATAGAGTGAGGATTTGCTGGGGGCTGGGAGGCCTGCCAGCTTCCCGGCCCCCCAGCACCCCTGCCTGCCGTGTACCTGGTAACCCCAATAAAAGACCTGCTAAAGCCACTGAGGACTCTGACTCCTCCTTTACCCGGTCTGCATGAGATCAGAAAACCTGCACTGTGTCTGTTCCTGACTCTACAGTGTGACATAATTAAATGACAAAATTGCCTTGGCAGTGATAGGTTATTTACCATTTACTAAATGATTACGACATATTAGGACCTGTGGCTATGTCATGGTGAAAGAGGTCCCTTAATGATCACTTGAGACTTTGCCGAAAGAACAAGGTAGAGACAGACTGTGAGGAAGAAGGTGGCACTAGGACCCTGAGAAAAGAAGGTGGGTTGGCAGGGACTTGATTCAAATGATGCCACAATTAGCTCCCTAAGACCTTCAACTTTCCTTTCTGTACTCCCGCAAGGAGGCCAGAGCAAGCCTTACCTTTGCTGCAGCTTATTGCTGACCTATGACCTCCCAGTGGACTGGGGTTGGGAGGAGAAGGGAGACGGGTCTCATGGATTCCTCAGAGTTTGGGTTCGGGGCAGAAAAGCACCTCAGAGAGACTGCGATGACCCACCTCAGGCCACCTCTCAGCCTCCATTCTCCTTTTGTCAACCATTTCTCAGATTTTCATGATCAAAAGCAGATGTTAATTTTAATTGTCTCTTGGACCGATTACCCTGTACAGCTTAATTGCTGATGTAAACCTGCTTAACAGTTTCACTTCCAAAGCTGAGGTAGAGCGGGTGGTTGTGATGGCGACCTAAGAGTTACTCAGGCAGGAATCTGTTTGTGGGGACCCATGCCCCAGTGGTCGGCCTCTAATAAGGAGTTGTACTTGGCCTTCTGTAGGGAAAGTGAATTGCTCAGGCTTTTTACGCCACTAGCCTCTGTGGCTGTCACCTGCAGCCTTGATTATGCCTGATTATGGACACCTGGAGCATAGTATGGACCTGCTTAAGTGTGCACACCTGAGTCTAGAGGCGGGCTCTTTGGGCAGCGCCGCTCAGCCATTGGGCAGCTACGAGAGGACTAGCTGCGTGACTACAGAGAGGCGAGACCACGAGAGAAGTGTAGATTCACTGGGAGCTGGGGTTTGGTGCTCCCAGCCTCCCGGCCCCCCAACTCCCCTGCCCACCCTGTGCCTGGTTGCCTTACATCACCATCTCTTCCTAAGCTATGTGCTTGAGGCCCTCGTCTCAGATAAATTCATGTTCAGAGAAGACAACAGTAAGGTGGAGTGGAAAGATCATCCAAGTGGAGCCACATGTCCCAACCCTGTCACTAGCCTGTGGCCTTGACCAGGTTATGGAGCCTCTTTGGACCCTGTGTTCTCATTGTCAGGTGAGTGGGAGGTTTGGGAGTGATTTGAAAGTCCCTTTCTGGTTTCATGGTTTCAGATTTTAGGAGAAACCTGAAAGCTTGTGTTTTGCCCTGCGAGTTTATGAATTTATGCCTGGTTCCTTCTCAATGCCTCTCCCTTTTCTTCTCACAAGCTGGAATTTTATTGTACATTGGCATTCTCCCAGTGAGTATTCAGTATTGCTCAAAAGGTAAGAGGTGAATGTTGTAATATTAATAGCTGGTAGCCTGCATTTAATGCTTTATGCCCTGCATCTTTAAGAAAAATTAAAAATTCACTCCCCTCTGGGGACTGTCCAATCCTAGATTTCATGATTAGGCTAAATTTAGGTCTGTGTCAATGCCTAAGCTTAATTTGTTACCCTGTCAGCCCAATGCCCCTGTATTAGGTAATGGATTCCAATACTAGTTATTGCTGAAATGTTTTATCCTTGTTGATCAAGGAGTTTAACTATTTATCAAGTAGCTACTGAGCTCTTATGCACAAAACCCTATTGTGGATGCTGCGGACAATAAATAAGACAGAACATTCTCTTCCTTGGGAATATAACTTTATATAAAGTATATTTTAAGCACTGAATGTCCAAAGGGATATTTTGAGCATCTTCAGGTCTTAGCATATTACCTTCATAATAACAGCAATGACTGTTTTTTCGTTACTGCTAAACTATGTGCTAGTTATTATGCTAAGTGTTTTGAAGGTATTTTTTCATTTAGTCTTCATAACAGTCTTATTCCAGAGATGTAGGAACTGAGACCTCAAATTATGTGCCAAAATCATATAACCAATAAAGAATAGGGACTTAAATCGGGTCTGCCTACCTCAAAAAGCCATAAAGTTTACTGTATAAATAGGCTGCTTTGTGTACAGCTGACAATATAGAAATTTTTGGTTGAACAATTGAGTAAATGAACAGTGAAGTCCTTAAAGAATAAATGGAAGGACATTGGGGTAGATCCTGAGTGGCTTGAGGGACATAAAGCCTGGCCCTTAACCTCACTGAATGGTGAGGTGCTATAGCTGGGTAACTGTATTTGGGCCGCTTATAGTTTCAGTTTGATCTTGTCTCATAAAGGACTCTGCCCCTCCAATACATATTCACCCATATGTACTGTGTTTTTATTAGAGCGGAACCTTTGCTTTGAGTTAACCAGATCATTTCTTTTTATTTTTTCTTCAATCTCTTCCCCATGCCAGCTTCCCTCTAGGCTATTTTGCAGTCCATTTCCTGGCCTGAGATCATGAGATACTCAGAGTTATTTACTTACCTCCATTTCAGATTCCTAGAACGGAGGCCTGCAGAGGCGCAGGGAGACAGCCTGATTTAAGGACCTCAGCCCCTCTCAGCACCCTCGTCCACACTCAGAGACCTCTTGGAAAAAGCCAGGACTGAGGGGCACTGGTCAGCGACAGCCCTTCCACTGGCCCCTCCAAGTTCATAGCAGTGAAGTGGAAATCCCTGCTTGGTGCCCCCTGGTGTCAATGCCTGAAGTGCCTGTGAGGGGAATATTGCCTCTCAGGCTGACCAGGAAATTTGTGAATTCACCACAGGTCATGAAACAAAAGTGCTCCGGCTGGCCTTGGCCTTCTCTACCCTCCCTCATTTGTGGTGCTACCTTTGCATTTGCATCGGGAGCCCATTTTCTCTGGCCTCTTCAGACTCCCTGCAGATCCTCATTCCAACGGCAATGCTGAGCCTTCAAGGAGATGGGATGAGAGGAGAGAAGAGGAGCGTGCGAGCTGGTCTGAGGAACAATGCCATAGAGTGAGGAGGAATCTGAGGGTGAGTAGCACCTCCTGGGGCCCTGGAGTTGCATGTCCATCCAGAGAAGCCCATATTAACTCAATTCCTACTGGGGGAAGGAAGGGCAAGTGGGATCTGAGTCCCTGCATGCTTGCCGCTGTATGAAGGGCTACAAGAGGGGCTTTACACATGGTTTCTCCTTTGTAACTTACATCTTCTGAGCTGGGTTTCACTACTCCCATCTTCCAAATGGGGAAACTCAGGTTCAGAGAGGTTGAGAATCTCAACTATAGTCTCACAGCATGTGGCAGAGCTTTGACTTCAGTGTCTGTGCTGCTACCTCAGGAGGGAGTTTTCACACCTGCGTCTTTTCATTCCTTGTGTAGTAGGGACCCTTTTGCTTCCTCTCTGCTTCCTGGCTGCCTCCATGAAGCTGACTCAAATTGGTGTTTCTAGACTCACATAGCAAAGCTGTGTGTGTGTGTGTATCAACTCACACACAGGTATGGGGTAGGAATTATGGAAAGGGGGAGGAAGGCTTATCACCCTCAGATATGTGGCCAGGTCTGAAGGGGTGCCTCCTCCTCCTTACAACCACCTGCTTCTGTTGCCAGCCTCTCCGTTTCTCCCCAAGTTCAGACTGCCAGCACAGCCTCCCCCTAGGCTGCCCCATGGTTTGGGGACGGGGTTTGCTTTTGTGTTGCTGGCTTTAGTCTCTCTCCCCAAGAGTGTGAGAGTGTGTGTGTGTGTGTGTAATTTGCAGTTGCCTTACATGTGTAGCAGTATCAAAACCAACTTTATTTTATTCAGTTCCTCCTCCTATCTTCTAAAAAGCTTTAAGGGGAAAAAGTCTCTTCCAGAAAATTATACTCTGTATCTCCCTTTCTGCTGCTCCTAAGAAGTCATTTAAGATGGAAATTAGAGCACATTATTGCACATTTAATTACCCACCAAATGAATGGCATATTTAATGGAAATGGCAAAGTCCTTTAACATGTGTAAGATTTCTAGTTCATGCATCTCCAGACATATTGCAAAATAATTCATTAATTGGAGGTATG